CGATAGTCGGTATATGATATGGTCTATTGTTCGCGTGTCGCGACCGCGTTTTGTTTTTTTCCGTTAATTAACCATCTATTAATGAGCGTTAACTGTCTGCCGATACCATTCATGGCAATACAAGCATTGTATTAATAAAATTAATTTGAATTTAGCCGACCATAACAGCCATTAAACTATGAAACCCCAGACGTTACAAATTATTATTAACCTAGTTATCTTTTAACTTTTTACGTTACTTTACAATATATCATGGATAATTCTTCTCAAAAAATATTAATTTCTACTAATAATATAGGTAACATTTTGGAGTTTTTTGTTGAATTCATTACAACTGTGGTTCAGACTGTGCTTATACACGGAGTTCATAGACGTGTTATCATCTTTGTAACATATTCGACTGAATTGGGAATGAACTTAGCTTGCACACAAATAATGATGATTCAAATGAACTAATTGATAATTTCAAAGCAAAGGCTCACTTCGTTAGTATTTAAATCTGTAGTTAAAACTTTAAAAAAACGGACTCGAAAAAAAAACACTAAAAATTAAATGTCTGCCCACGCAACCCCGTTCCAGTTACAACAAAAATAACCGCCTAATTAACCAACAAAAATAAATCACAGCGGATCAATGTCGTCCAATTATTAAACATAACAACGCAACAATATTGCAAAAGCAATAAATCGCCGCACAACTTATTATCATCATAATTACCTTATCACATGTATAATTACGACTAATGGGCAAAAGATAGCAACATTGTAGACGGGTTATCAGGCGCACAATTATGAAATGCTCTGGGGTCGTGTCGCGGAGATATTTAAATTCATCGGACGTTCTATTCTAAGTTTGAAAACAAACAAAAGTTATCAGTTTTTACGCATTTGAAAACAGAACGTGATTTGAATCTGGAATAGGCTAGTTTCCTAAAAAAACTTAGTCCGCCAATTATATTCTTCAAAAATATTGGACACGTATATTTTTATTTGTCAATCAAACAAGGAACTACGAAGTTATGTTGCATTGAAGTTCTGCGTGACGTCACAAAGTGCTACACTTTTAAGCACTCCTTGCCGTCACGGGCCTCATCTTTTGAACTTTGGCGCGCAATAATTATTGAAAAAGTGAAAAATACTTGTCGAGTATTTTTTGATAAGTTAACTGACGGACTAATTAAAACTCTTGCTTTTTTTCCCAAGAAACATCACTTTGGGGTGCTTTAAATTTGGAAAAACGGAACTCGAAGCTACTTACCAAATAAATTACTATCAATGTAATATTAGTGTAAACCGTTTTATAACTAAGGCGTGTATTTTTATTTTATTTTCAGACAGTTTTAAAATTGTAACTGAAATACAAAACAATTAACTTTCCGTCGGCAAGTCTTTACCTTTTAAAATGCCTTAAAAACATAATCTTTTCCGACTTGCCTATTTGTCAATAACAAAAATAACAGTGTTTCAACTTTTTTCAAGTCACCCACTGTCGTGTTGTTTTAAAACTAAAGTAACGGTGAACTAAGTAATCGGGTTTGTCAAAAAAACTTCAAACTTTTCAGTTTTTAGTAACAATAAACAAACAGATCTATTTCTCTAATTGTTACTGGCCACCGCAGCGGCTTGAATAAAAAAAAACTGTTTTTAAAAAGCAAACTTTGAAAGTAATGAGTTTTGAAATGATCGCATCCTCTTTCCAAGGATTAGTTCTAATCTTTTTACTTTTTTTCCGCTCCGTGGTGTGGCTAACGGTGTTTTTATCAATGCGACCCGTGTCTTTAAGATAAGCTACCCGATTTTTTGTGAGAAAACACTTAAATCTGTCTGAATACCATTCGATTATGCCGACACAAATTTTAGATGTTTATAAATTGTTTTTATCTAAATTACTGGCCCCAGAGTGGAATATTAATAATATTTGAAAGATAAGCAACTTTCTTGCGGGCATATAAAATAATGACTATTTGATATGACCCGGTAACTAGGCGATTAGTTCATTAAATGCTTAATTATTGTATTTGTGGGGTATGATAGCTAGTAAAGTATTATCAAAGGTTATAATTACTCAATAAAGTTAATAAATAATATAAAACAACTCGGCCGCTCGACTTAATGATATGTCTGTAATATTGATTTGAATTAATACGATATTTAGGCCGCAAATTATTTTAGCCGGTTTCGAAATACATACAAGTAGAGCGTTCATTTTAAAATGTAGAATATTGATTCATTTAGTAAAACCTGAATCTATGCAACAATAATTATCCTTCGTAAAATACACAGATTTTTTCAATCTTTCTTCAATAATTTTGAGCTCCAACTTTAATGACCGACGTCTTAACCCGTACATTTTAAGTATTGCTGTAAGTGTATTGTCGATGATACTGAATAAACATTCTTTCTTTCTTACATAATGGTATGCATAAGTCCCAGAATACCAAAGACTAATGGAATAAGTCCCACGCAATTTCAGCACAAGACTCTAACAACATTTTCTTTTAATGTGTTCTATTTACGACCCAAAAGACTCTTGCAAACAAATGAGGCTGACGCCCGTATTCACAAACATTACTATGAGGTCTCACAGTGCGCGTGCACGCACAGTGTGACACATGAACAAATGACAGGGATTTATTCAACGCTGTGCGTTCGATTTGCTGCTTCACATAAGCAAGCATCGTTTGTTAATACGGACGTGACTATCATGGGCACTGAAGTGTCATGATTTAGGGACGTGCGTAAACCTAACTGAAACAGTTTAATCTCTGTTCCAGTCGATTTTATTATGCAAAGTTATTCGGGTCAACTGTGCGCAAAACTGCAACTGGTTCAGACTCTTTATAGTCATTTAAGCTAGGTTTATTTATTATCCATACTAATATTATAAAGAGGTAAAGTTTGTGTTTGTATATTTGTTAAATTGTAAGGGGTAATCTCGGGATCTACTGAACCGATTTTAAAAATTCTTTCACCTATAGAAAGCCACATTATTGCTGAGTGTCATAGGTTATATAAAAAACCGAAAAATTCCACGCGGGCGAAGCCGCGGGCGGAAAGCTATTTTATATTTTAAAAATGGTATTCTGCACCAACCCTTATTCGAAAGAGTTCAAAAACAATCTAAAACAAAAAAGATCCTTAATGCCTTACGTTACGAGCTAATTACGCATCGCGAGGGTTCAGATATGTATTCAGAAGCACGTCATATCTATAGAACTAATTAAGGGCCTCCTCAAAAAACGTGGTTCACCTATAAATGAAACAGATCTTACATTATTTAATAAACCATATCATTACCGTACAGTCGTTGCTAATTAGTGACCATAAATGTATAAATATAAAAAATACATCCGTCGACCATAGACAGTAGAATGCGAACCTGTTCATTATGGTACAGAGGCAAAGAACAACTCACATACAGCCTAATTAAACACTTATTTACCAGTTAAAAGTTAACTCGTAATTATGTCCAATTGTAGTAATGAATTGCGTCTAATTACGTGACTAAAATTAAAATTAAGTCATTTTGATGAATTAGACAGTGTGCCTACAGCTGTTGCCGAAAAACGGTTGTCAGTTTTCAAATTAGATGTACTAGTATACTCGTAAACTGAATTTTTGAAGATGAAAATAACTTCCAAATAAAAAAAAAGATATTTAAAACAGAAGTTTAATTTGTCTTATCGCAACTACTATGATAACGCTCATATCGCACCCATGAATCTGTTTAATAACAATCAAGGCATATGGGTAAGTGCAGTTTAATTGTGCAGGACTGGTTTAACGTAATTCTGCGAATAATCATATTATGTGTCACTTTGGAAGAAGTGATGCGTGTTATGTCTATCTTCAGTACAATTTCTACAAAATTGCTACAAGTCTCTTTTTCAAAATTTTATAAGTTTATAACTATACTTACTGCCCCGGCTACTATAAAATTTCATGGTTTAATATGTTCAAAAAATATACGGTATCTCACAATAATGAAACCATGTGAGTTTCATAATCTTATCGTCAATATTTGACAACCTAAATTTTTATTCATGAAGATACCCCGAAAAACCAAAAAAACTGGTAGTTTGGCCGAAATTTTATAATTTTATAATGTTACCCTCAAATTAGCTCAAATTATCCAAAGCTGTAGGCTTAAAATATAACAATATCACGCCGATACAAAAACCCCGCACAAAAAATGGTTACGCACCACATCATTAATAAAACATGAACCTAGTTAATAAACCGCTGTTAATAAGAACGAAGAAATATAATTTTGAATGACAGGATATAGGCGTGGATTTTAGAGGTTTTCTCACGGCTCCTTTAGTCCTAATTAACCTGTCAAATATAAATTTAACGTTTAAAGAACTATTTATTTATGCTAAACGACTGCTGATTGACGTCGAATGTTGCCATACAGAATAAATGGTAATCAATAGCAATCAATAATAATAATTTGTCAATCAAATATTGTTGATACAGTCAATGGTTTTTTTCAAGTCGAATTAGGCTTTTTGTATGGTCAGACACGATTTTTTGTGAAATCTAATTACGATTGTCAAAGTTTAAGCTTACTGAACGAGCAATAAAAAGATGTTATGACTAATTTTCATAATCATCTCATTAAAATGAAACTTTTAATCTCTGTACATAATTTAATTTATGTAGATGACATTATTGCCTTCAATCACCAGAGGGATTTGAATAAAATTAGATTTTTCGGACAAACTTTTGCCTGCAGCATGAATATTTTTATCTGGCTAAAAATAGATGAAGTAGAATATAAAACACTTTCTATTCTAATAACAAAGTTCTGGAGACGAATTTGCCTCAATCTGGTAATGATGATGATGCCTTTACCGAAATAGTACAAATTAATAACAAACAAAAGGGATTTTTTTATGACAACAATTTATCCATTGCATCAAATCTGCCCAAAGAATTTGAGTAATAAAGCATTCGGTATGACTTCGTAATAAGAAAAAAAAACCAATAAAGACTTACCTCCTGGAAACCTATGAGGGAATATCCTTCCATGCCTGTTGATCAGCCAGGGGTACAATTGGTAGGACTCTCGGGGCACCGGCGCCGCGGGGTGTGGAGGGGGATGCGGCGGGAGAGGGGCTCCGAAGCCCTGCTGCTGGTGGGCGAGGGCCGCAGCCAGGGCCGCGCCTTGGAAGTGCGCAAGGAACTGGTGATGGTGACTCTGAGCGTCCAGATAAGGAAGCCTCTTCAGCTCAGGGGAAGGAAACACCGCCGGCAAAGCGCTCGGCCTCAACAAAGGGCGAGGAGACGGACTTCGAGGAGACGCCACCGGAGACGGCGACCCTGGACTCGCCAGCGGCGGCGACGCCTGCTTCGGCCGCTCCGAACCACCAACTATACTGTCTATACTAAATCCTATCTTCGGCTTCGATGGCACCGCCACCACAGGAGTCGGTGCGAGAGGCATCATGCTTTTCACACAACGGGTCCGTCACAAAATTATCACCAAATCTCAGAAGCACATGTTACACAGAGCACAATCCATCGTGACGCGAGCGCGCGGTACAAACGCCGTGGTGGCGCGCGGCCGAATGAGCCCTCCGCTCGCGCTCGCCGCCCGATCGCGCAGAAAAAAAAACGACTAACATGGACGCCCGCGCGCTGATTGGCCGACCGGCGCCGATGGGTGTCGACGCACACCCGAGCGTGAACTCTTTATTTTGAAGTCTGCGTCGCGATTGGGCGAAAGGCGTGTTGAGGTGTTATTTGAATTAGGAACGCTTTTCGAGTGGGCGGTTTGAGTTAAGAGCTTGTGATTTAACCGGCCAGATGGAGGGTCGCGAGATTTGTCGTGCGCGTTGGGGAGGTTCGCTCTCTGAATTTAGTTGGTTATGATTCAATTAAGGAGCGGATTGGGTATTCGCGGTTCTTTGCTCGTTTTGCCGTCGGCGAGCGCGCGCCTCCGCTCCGTAACACTTTTTAATTAACTCGAATGCTTTATTAGCGTTAATGTCCCGAGATACAGCGTCACAATTAATCGCTCTTGTACAAATCTCGCGGTAGTTCACAATAATTGTCGTTATCAACAACCGCCGGTTGGCGAATTGTTTTCTTATGTTGTTGAATTAAATTTTAATGTAACCCGATAAGGTTTGAATTTCACGCAAATTTTACGCCATTACAAATTACTGTTTGGTAAATAGTTTGATTTTTTAATTAAAATTACCACGGTTTGTAATCTGGGAGAAGTGATTGATTTTTGTTTTGAAACATTTTCGTGTCTGATTTAAAAATAATTTATACCAAATAATTTTAAATTAACTGGTCGATTGGAGGTAGGTATGATTAAAATAAATGAGAAATGGCAACGCGAAAAGTAAACGAATAATTTTTAATTACTTTCCACGTTTTTTGTCTTCATTTGGCGCTGGTACATTCAATTATTATTGATATATAAATACGATCGAGTTCTCATTACCACCTTTAAATTTATAAAAGCCTCAAATGCTTCCTGCTGTTTAATTAGACAATGTTTACTTTTCTCTACTATTACTGTGTTATATTTATAATAATTGTTTCTTGCAATAATGAAAATATATTGCCTGTCGTTCGATTGTATTAACGTTGCTGAAATTTTCCTTCTTCACGTTTCTAATCTTCAAGTAAGATTGAAACTAAGAGATCTAATAAGATAATCTACTGTCCAGTTCTTGATAATAAGCTGACATTTATTCGATAAACATCAAGCATCTAACGATCAGAATCACAGATCAAACGAATGATACAATATTAATTATTATAAATTGAAAACTACATAGGTAGAGAAACAAGGGATTTTTATATAAAACAAATGAAAATGTAACAACCGAAATGTCATTTCACTTCTCCAATGTGACCAAATTGTTATCATTATTTTGGTAGAAAGAGTATTACATATTATTATGTAAAATAATTTCTAAAATTATTGAACACTATTTTTATAATAGAGAAACACGGGTTGAGACCCATGTTTCTCTATTTTAGTTGAAACGGAACGCAAAACGCAATCCATGGGCAAAAGGAAAAATAAAGAAAAGGCCATTTTTTAATACACAAAACTTTATTTGCCACCAAATTCTTCCAGTTTAGAAGTTGAGTTGTTGTAAGACCGTAATAGATGGTTTTTTGGACTCGTATGTACCTAATTAATAAGTTTGTAACCTACCTACATAATTATTACAAAAAATGTTCATACAAAAAACTTATAAAACTCATTTATTTCTGCAAATGTGCTTTAAAAAAGCAAGTTTACGTCCCAGTATTAACCCTACCACTGCTTCAGGACAATAAATGGGCCAGTTCTGAGAAGAAGCAGCGCAAGAAACTCAGTCACTCTTGTCAGCCTCTTTTTCAAAGGGTTAAGTACACACTTTAAAATATACATAGTTATAAATATTTATGCGAGCTAGGCAGTTATCCGGCTGAGTGTCCTAGTCGGATGAATATTTACTAGGTATAAATAATACAGAATTTGGAGATTGGAGAGTTGGAAATAAATGTATTATCCTGAATAACTAAAGTAATACAGAGACGTGTGAAAGCGCTTTATAAAGCCTATTTGCAGAACTTATGGCTCGTGGCACAGATTTTCAGAAAAGAGGGAAGATGCATATCTATCGTAAGCATCAATGGTAAATCTACAATTGGCCAGTTATACCTACACCTTACTTAGTTCGTATTTCGCACTCTGACCCTAATCCTCAAAACACACCCTTTGCAGTACCTACATATAGGTACGAAGGTAACTCAGTTTGTCTGTTACGACGTGTAAACCGCTGAATCTATTTTGATTAATTTTGATAGATGTAATAAAAAGTACCCTTTACTAAAAGGGTAAGTTATATTAAATAGTTGTCGTCTGCTGTACATTGACAAGCTCAAACTACTGAACGGATTGCGCTGAAGGCATGCAGATAGTTATTGTGCATCCTTTGTGAAATCATTTTTAAAAATTCACGCATTAAACGGAGACTATTCCTCGTTTCTTAACTCCTGTACTCCTCCTCCTTACAGAGTTTAAATTATGGGACAAAAGATTTTCTGTGACAAATTCAAGCTCTTTATATATGTGGACTTTCGGCACTTTTCACACCCTAAATACAGCAGTTGCCCTAGCACTTCGGGACATATCGGCTGTTGACTGAAAGAAAACTCTACAGGCAAAGCCGCAGGCCGATGTTAGTCTCACCACACCACGACTCGTGAGTTCATTTGAATACGAGAGTGGTATCCTCCATAATCCTCCGAGGTGTGGGCACGGCAAACGGTGGGTAATTTACCCACTTAGCGGCTACGGGTAATGGTGGGTTAAAATAAATATGGTGGAATAGTGCTTTATTTGATGTAGCTAAAATAGTGAGCAATTTTTAGCGGGTAGACGCTCACTTTTTACATGGACTATAATTGGTTGTAGCGTTGGACTCTCTCGGTCTAAAAATATTGAGTTACGTCACCAAATTAGGTTCCTACAGCACAATTAATACTTATAACTTATACTAGTAGTCTGCTAAAGATGACAATAAAATGAAACAGCAATCCTTGGGAGTAGGACTGCTTTGTGTGATTTGTGCAAAAATTTGATATTTAAATAAAATAAATGGACTTAGTTAAGTGCTCTTTCAAATTAGTTAGTCGTTCGTTTTCAGGACCGCACACGGAAAATTGTATATCAACTGCGCAAAAATGACAATAGTGCCAAAAGCAGAAAGCCTGCTGTGGTGGTGACGCGCTCTCTACTGTCATGGCTTATACTGAGCAGATGCCATTTTGGTGCTTGTACTGTACCCTGCTGTTTAGTTTTATGAATGTAGTTATTTTATTTTGTACTTGCATCGAATAAATACTGTTTCTTGATTTTTTTTCACCAGTTAATGTGCAAACGCACTCATGCTAAAATCAAAACGTCTAATTTGAAAAAGTCCTAAGTTCCAGTTTAAATAAAAAAGAAAAACATTTATTGTTTCTCACAACCAAAATTTAAAAGTTACAATTAAAATTAAACTAGAGTAAATTAAATACAGGAAACAAAAGGCCATGAGGTTTCAACAATCAATCTGATCTTCCTAAACTCTTCCCCCTTTACAAAAGTTTGTTTTACCAAAACCACACCGGTCGAGACTCGCTCGTCAAATTCTTATTTGAATACACAATCGCTTGATGGTAGCGCTATAACGCCTGCGAGGTGTGGGCATCGTGCCATGATTGGTTAGGTTAATCTTGAAAACTTATAATCTGCGCCTATAGAAACTGGCATTTTGTATAGTAGTAGGATAGTTTCAGGTCGGTATTGCGAGTATAAAACAACGCCTAAAAATCTATTCTATCCCAGACATAGGTTTTGTACTGTGATTGGTCTAAAATTGTCATTCAACCAATCAAAAGTCAAGACAACTTCGTCTAGTAACACAGACCTCGGTATTCATAGCTTTACTATAATTATTTTTTAACTTCTTTTTAGCCCTGAAATTCCTGAAAACAAGTAAGTTTTCAATTTGATGTGATTTAAAATTTTTGGTAGCTTTGAAATCGATATAATTTAGTTTAATATCAATGTCTGACTTATTGTGAGAATAGTGGCAACTGATTTATGTAGTTTTCTTATGTTAAATTGTGTATTAAATAAATAAATAATAAATAAGTGTATATTTAAATGTTATTCTGAACTTACTTGTTTGAATAGTGTAATTGGTACTATCGTTCTATTCATAAATAAATAAAATACAAATACTTGAGTATATTTGGTAGAAAAATTGCCAGTCCCTTTTGGCATGGATCATACATACCTGTAATCTGTAACAATAACCACGGTCACGTATAGAGACCAAGTCAAGGCTTGTAGAGTCAGTGGTGTAAAGAGTTTTGTAATGTACTTCAGGCTGTAAAATCTAGGTTTTAAATCCTAAAATCGGAGGTGGACCGACGACCTCAAAAAGGTAGCAGGAAGGCGCTGGATGCCGCTACCAACCGGGCGATGTGGAAATCATTGGGGGAGGCCTATGTTCAGCAGTGGACGTCAGCGAACCGCCAGTCTGCTTGTGACCACGGCTGCAGTGAGTACATAATGTAACTCATTAATAAACGTCGCGTTAAGACCCGTGTCTTACTATTTTAATTACATGTCATATTCTGTCAATTCAATGAAAAATATTCTTAGTTTTTTCCTGGAATTTAGCCTACAACAAACTGAAATTCAGTAAAAGCACAAAAACTAATAATTAACAGTTAACTGCAAGAGTTTTAGCCCTACGGAGTAAATATTTTTTCAACAATACCTTTCATGAAAAATAATGTGCTACGAGGTTTTTTATTAAACTAAGTTTTTAACCTAAATAAAACATTATACTACATATAGAACACCATGTAAACGATATCAATTTAAATACATAATATATTTATTTTACATTTACATTTACATTTAGTTTAACTTCTAAAATAAAAATCCGCAATGGTTACAAAAACTTTCTTGTTTCAACTCCACAAGCTTGCGTACTACTAACGCCATCTAGTATACATTTTTAGAACTAATCATACCTTTCAGGC